GACCCGCCAGTCGTACTGAGATTGCTCGTCCAATGTCTCGTGCTAGTTTCTCGGGTGCAAGGACACCTTTGGGAGTGAGACCTAGAAGTTCTCTTACTGGTAGCTTGCATGGCCACTCTCAAAGCGTGAGCCGTGTCGACCTGGAAGATTTCGATGAACGGTTCGAGGATCGCACCCCAAGTCGCCGAGGAACTTACAGTAAGTTTGACACTGACGGTTCCACTAGTGGCATCCCGACTCCCAGTGCGATCCCGATGCCTAGGCGGCAAAGCGGCGGGATGCATTCGGCTCGTAGAATTAGTGGTGGCGCGTCGAACGAACCCGCCACCGGGAGGCCCAGGAAATTAAGCGACCTTGGAGAGACTTACTAGTCCAGCCCCCCTCCCTCCCCCCTTTATAACATCTTCCCTTTACTCTTCTCTTGTATTTGTTTGAAGTGCCGCGCATATTGCACTGTCGAACGTGGTGTGGGGGCCACTAGCATTATACCTTCGTCGCGGCGTTGTGCCGAGGCGTCACGAGTTACGGACGGATTTGCATATCATATTCGCTAGCATGCGTGCTTGCATTTTCATCATTATGGGCAAGGGGGAATTTTTCGGCCGGATGGTGCTGGGCAACGCATCCTGCTCGGTACGGTGAATGATGGTGTTTCGAGGCAGGCGGGGCGTTACGGAACCCAGAAAGGGGCGATACCTATTTTCTTCGGCCTCTTCAGATTGACGTTGGCCTTTTTTTCTCTCACTTTTTTTATTATTAAACGCATACCATGGCGGCGGTAGCAGTTGTTGACGATTACCTTGTGTTGTATGCGCGACCGCCGGCGTGGTAATGGGGACCTTGTACATATATGTACGGCTCGAGATGAAACGAGATTCGAAGACCGAAGACCGCCTGAGAGTCGGAGGATCTAAACCTGTTGTAGTAGTAATACCAGCCTGAGCGGCAAATATCTTCCCTTTGTTAAATTGCACGCTTTACAAAAATTTTCAAGGCTCCGAGGCTGTGTTAGATATAGACGATGCTGGACATGATAATCTTAGGAATTGCTTGTAGACTACGGTGAGTATATATAGCAAGTGCGCCTGCATAAGATAGGTAGGTACTTATATTGGTGCAGTTGTATAGCGAAATGTGTATCTGTATACTATACCAATTGTAAGGGATTTGGTCTTTTGATGTTGTGTGACGAGGTACCTATACTAAGCTTGGGAAGAACCAAATCCTCGAGTATATGTAAATCTGAGGGTAAATAGAACTACATACCTAGATATGTAGGGACACAACTTAACATACGAGATATAGCTTTTCGTATCCAGAAAATGAGCTTCAATCTGAAAGTAAGCCACCGAACAGATATAACCACCTACCTATCTGCCTGAGGTATATGGAGAGAGATGATAGACTAAGAGGTATGGAGTGTAAATTACGAGGTTCATGAGATAAAACTTTTCATTGCCGGAAGACGTTTTGACAGGACTTATTATTGTTGATGTTTACTATCTTTATTGGTTAGAAAAGGTTTAACTTGGGAAAATGGTTTAGATAAATCTGTGTATACTCATTGAAGGTATATAAGGCTTCCACGACTTAGGAGTTGGGTGTATTAGACGGGTATAAGGTAACATCTAAGGAGTTGTTGAAATACATTACTGTACACGGTTGGAGTTTCATATAGCTGTGGGTGAGTGACACATGGTATGAAGAGCTTTAGGAGAACTCCGGGTATTTGGTGTTTGTAGAAGACTATATCCGAGGGGGTGGATATACTAGTTTAGGTACTCAAGATAGATTATCCCTACGATTTATGGCTTGAGATGGGTTATGTAAGGGAGAGATATAACCGGTGGTGAGAAATGGTGGCACTATATTGATAAGCCAAGGGCTTGAGGCATAAGTGTGGTATGTTAGGATAAAACTTAGGTAGTTATACTCACTTGTCTTTAGGTACATATTCAAAGCAAAATCATATTCAAAGTAATATGGATAAGAATAGATTGCTAACCAAGTATTAATAATATGGGAAATACTTTCTTTCAATAGAATGATATTTATATTGCCCTAACATAGTCGAGTATTCGCTAACCAGTCGAACATTTCTTAACAATTCTATGATTACTCAAATTCCTCTGATGCTTAGAGATTTATCACAATGTTGGTCTGTACGCGGACAAAGTCACTTGCGATCCTGTGCTATCTCTAGGTATTGCATTCCGGGTCGATAGCTAGAGTTCATGCAGGCACATGTCCGGATATACGATCGGCTCTTTTACCACGTTCGATGCCAGTAGTAGAAGCTACCTGTCGTGTTCTAGAAAAGCGTTGCGCATGGCTGCAGAATGCATCGATGATACATACCTAATAGGGATGGCATAAGGCTGGCATTACTGTAGCTTTATACTATTACTGTAATGGGCAGATAGGGACGGTCCACACGTGATAGACGCAAAGCATCTCTCTGTTCGTCATAGGTGCATCCGAGATAGATTAGGGGTGGATCACTTCACAGCTGTGCTGCAGGATGACAGTTTCGTGTTAACAGCGACTTTAGAAGCCGACTCGTCCCGTTGACATGCAGCAAGAGATGAGCTTGACAAATAGACTATGTATCTAAGTGTTTAGATAGACTTCTAGTGTATTAAGACGGGTTGGACTTAGACCCAATCAATAATTATTCGTCATTTTATTCGTCAGACGGCCGTGCTAGCCTTGGCTGGTTCCAAATTAGCAAACTGGCCTTCTATACAATTCGAAGGTATGTCTCGATAATAACTAGTGAGAAGAGACGAGGTATCCTTGGTTCTATCGGGGAACCGAAGTCTAGTGACGACGTTCTGGGGACGGGCTTACATCCTACAGGAAGTATTTACTGGCTGAGGCGGGGCTGGACGGGGTTCTTCTCGGGGAAAGGCACATCTAACATTTACTGCTTACCCGGAGACTAACCCGGTACTGATAAGCAGCTAACCTAGTGAGAATATCACACGATGATGGTGGCTCTTTGAAGTTGATGACCTATAATCTTACAGTGGATTGTTTGACAAGGCCGGACTTTTTCGGTCACCGGGATGTTTCACTTCCAAGTTGCTGACATGGATCGTGGATGATAGAAAGATCCTTTAGGATTTGCTTAGTCAATAGTATCGCACAGATAGGTGGTAGTTCCTTGATTAAGAGATGGTTGATTCAAATGGAGATAGCCTGATAAGATACGGATGCTAAATTGAGGCCAAACCGGCATGAATTATGCATGCTTACGCGTGTAATATGGGATTGTTCCGAATAACGCCGGACATCATGTTGGGGACTTGCGCAGTTTGTCTTGGTGGAGATGAGAAGTTTGAATTCCCAAATTTTGGTAACGGTGGATATGATGATAGATGAGCAAAAAAAAAAAAATAATAATAATAATTTTAGAAAGAATTAGTTCAAGAGTTGGGAAATGTCGGCTTGTTGTGCTAAACCAATTTAACCTGGCATATTAGCTGCTCGGTATATTGAATCGAACAAAACAACAAAATCAAGATCGTGTTCCACAACGAACTTGATTGTAATTTAGGCTTGACTCGTTTAAGCAAGCAATTCGATAAACTACTAATTCGCCTACAAAATAATTGGCCAATTCAGGAACCGTAACTGAACCGGACCACTGGAAGACCGGCTTGTCGTAGACCATGTGGCTCCCATTTTTTTAGTGTCGAAGTTTACCCCAACAATTGAGTTCACTTTAGATCTGTAACTCGATGGTACTTGGGTACATGATGAATTATCTCCTGCACGATGATATAATTATGGTCATTATTAGTTTAAAAAAAAGATGGAACTTGAAGATATTTAAGTGTAACTACCTAACCTAAGTGTAGGTATAACTATCGATGACAAGTGGAGAGTTATAACAATTAGAATATAAAACATACGGTCCCCGGAGTATTTGTCGATCTTCCGGATTGTTTGTCAATACAATACGGAATAAGTAAGCGGATTTCGCAATGATGACCCAAGATGATTACGATGATGGATGATGGATGATGGGCGTGCACTGATAAGGCCGGGGGATGGATCATGCACAGTAAGCATTGGCTATAGTCCTGAAAGGGACCTTGGAGGGCACAACTAGGAGCTGGAAAGTAAATGGGTGTACATACATATCTTAGGTAGCTATCGAGATAGTGGCGGCCCGGTGCCGGCCCAAGGGGAATATGTACGGAACAAAGACAAAAAAAAGCCATAACTGCACTATATACACTACATTCACTACCTTCTACTAGTTGTAAAATAAAATAGATGGGATTCTCACCCAATTTGTCCCACTTCCCGAGAAGACTCTTACTGGATTAGGAAACATTTGTTGAGATTCGGGTAATAAGTGGAGAGAGTCCACCGGGACACCATTGGAAAAGACATCCTCTTACTGTATTGTATCTTTTATGTATAGAGTTAGATACTATGACCTGGTAGATGTGGCTATTGAAGCGCGGGCGCGGAAATAAGATAAAGAAGTAGAAACATATTTGTGATTGGGACTGGGAAGATGATAGATATATTCGGGAAACCCCGATCTATTCCGTTAATTTGATATGATATCCGAGATGGTGGTGGTGTAAAGTCCGGATGTGATATTTTAGTATCGCCTATAAATTATGTATAGTTTCATTCTTGGTTTTCCTTTGTTGCTGAGCCTAATAAACTTGATAGCTGCTTTTTATGTTGGAATTGTTGTGAATATAATAACTGTAGGTGAAATATAATTCAACACACTTATCATGCATTAGAGCCGTTTAATGACTAAGAATGGCCATTGCCTTTTTACTCAATTGGCTTTCTATATTTTGTCTTGGCCGGACTTAAGGGACGCCAAAACAAAACGGAAATACCCCCGTCCTCTTGATCTAATGTGACCCCAATAAGTTTAAAATCTTATTCAGCCATGTGGGAAGTTGGGTCTGTACTTACTATGACGGTATCCATCTATATGGGACACAAGCGAATTTAGGTCTAAAATGTACCTAGAAGATGTCCTTGGATTTGTACCTGTACTATACCCGGCCGCACCTGCCGCTCCTGTAGGTACCTGCAATTGAACCTGACCAGAGACGTACAGCCTAACTTTAGAGAACGCTAGGAGATCCCCAACATCCTGGAGTCAACTATGATTGGATAAAAAGATGACTTAGGTGTCGATCATAACAGTACGATTAGGTTCATTTTAACCGTATCAGCCTCGTTGATTCCCCGAACTAATCATTAGTCTGTCATTTTAGTGTAAGCTTAGATCCTCTTTTTTTTATTTTTCTTTTGTCTTTCGGCTTGCTTGGGCTTGTCTAGGACATGTACATCACAGTATCCCTCTCGTCCAAAAAGGCCTGAATGTCCGGTCAACTTCTTCGCCATTCCTCCTCGAAACTTTCCAGCTTTTCTACTTCCCTCACTAGTTAGTTGAAGCCGGTGCGTCAGCGCTTGATGCCTTCTTCCCTCTGGTCCTAATATCTTGACGAAGAAATCAATTGCATGGAGGTTGAAAGTTGAATCTAACTTTATAATAGTACTTTATGTGTAAGTCTTAATCCTTGTATATGCATATCAAATTTATTCAGATATTCACTTATACCCCGATTGTTTTCCCGTTCCTTTACTCCTGCGGCCGCGTCTCCCCGTTCTTGATCGACGAGGGTAGCACACAAGCTCAACAACGATATTTCGACTGTGGATCAGATAGGAACCCAGCAATTCTCGCAGATTCCGCGAGTAGCTGATCTTCCTGCTGAGCTTTGCAATTTTTGCCATGATCCTGATATTCTCTATTCCCTAGAACTTCATTTTTACCTTCTCAACTTTTACCACTAACTTTGCCTTGAACAGAATTGCGGGAGGTCAGCCGAAATATCTTCAACTTACTTTTACTCTCCTACCCTGACCTCAGCTTTTTATCCATAACGCACGTACCACAATCGGAGCCTCCCCCACTCCCGATTCTTCCCCGCCTACGTATCCTTCGTTGAGGCACAATTGCGAGTCTCTGGCGTTATTCAGCAGCTCGATTAGGGCGTCCGCTGTACTTTCATGACCCCTTAGACATTTTATTCCGATTCATCAGTCCGGCAGCCATCACCTGCGCCGCTGAAGCACCTTACATCTACCTCTCCACATCCGACACAATGTCTTCAACAGAAGTCGCCAATGGTAACCGGACGGTGCCCGTCGCCAATGGCAAGCTCAGTTATGCCGAGCAGCACAACATACCAGAGCACTTCATTGGTGGTAATAGGCTAAAAAATGCCCCCGCGTCCAAGGTTAAGGACTTCGTAGCCTCACATGATGGACATACTGTCATTACAAACGTAAGAAGATTGAAATCGAGTTAGAGGAGATAATGTAGGATTTGTTAACACTCATGTCCAGATTCTGATCGCCAACAACGGTATTGCCGCCGTCAAGGAGATCCGATCAGTACGAAAATGGGCGTACGAAGTTTTCGGCGACGAGCGGGCTATCCAGTTCACGGTGATGGCCACACCGGAAGATCTGGCAGCCAATGCAGACTATATCCGAATGGCCGACCACTATGTCGAAGTTCCTGGAGGCACAAACAATCACAATTATGCCAACGTCGAGCTGATTGTGGATATTGCTGAGCGGATGAGTGTTCATGCTGTCTGGGCTGGATGGTGAGTTTATAAAATTTCGAAGCTAAATTTGTTGTAAAAGTCAAGTCTAACACGTCATTTATAGGGGTCATGCTTCGGAAAACCCTAAGCTCCCAGAGTCCCTAGCGGCATCGCCGAAGAAGATTGTCTTCATTGGCCCTCCCGGTTCCGCCATGCGATCACTTGGTGATAAGATTTCTTCTACCATCGTTGCACAACACGCCCAAGTACCCTGCATACCATGGTCGGGAACAGGCGTTGATCAGGTCGAGGTAGACGACAATGGTATTGTTACTGTGGCTGATGACATATACATGAAGGGATGCGTCGGCTCCTGGGAAGAGGGTCTGCAAAAGGCCCAGGAAATTGGCTTCCCAGTCATGATCAAGGCTTCCGAAGGTGGTGGTGGTAAGGGTATCCGAAAAGCGCTGTCCGAAGAGGGATTCGAAGAGTTGTATAAAGCTGCCGCGAACGAGATTCCCGGCTCGCCAATTTTTATCATGAAGTTGGCGGGCAATGCTCGGCATTTGGAAGTGCAACTGCTGGCTGACCAGTATGGTAACAACGTCTCGCTTTTTGGTAGAGATTGTTCCGTGCAGCGAAGACACCAGAAGATCATTGAAGAAGCTCCCGTTACGATTGCCAAGCCGCCCACATTCAAAGGCATGGAGGAAGCTGCCGTACGTCTTGGTCGTCTCGTAGGTTACGTCTCTGCTGGTACGGTCGAATATCTTTACTCTCACGAGGACGACAAATTTTACTTCTTAGAGTTGAACCCACGTCTCCAGGTAGAGCATCCTACGACCGAAATGGTCAGCGGAGTTAACTTGCCGGTGGCCCAATTACAAGTTGCCATGGGCATTCCTCTACACCGAATTAGCGATATCCGGTTACTATATGGTGTTGACCCGAAACTTAGCACACCGATTGACTTCGAATTTAAGAGCCCGGAGAGCGATAAGACTCAGAGGCGGCCGCAGCCACGTGGCCACTGTACAGCCTGCAGAATCACGTCCGAGGATCCCGGTGAGGGTTTCAAGCCTTCCAATGGTGTGATGCACGACCTGAACTTCAGGAGTAGTGCCAATGTCTGGGGTTATTTCTCCGTTAGTACTGCCTCGAGTATTCACAGTTTCTCCGACAGTCAATTTGGACATATTTTCGCTTATGGAGAGAATCGAGCCGCCTCGCGGAAGAACATGGTTGTCGCTCTGAAGGAGTTAAGCATCCGTGGCGACTTTAGAACGACCGTTGAGTATCTTATTAAGCTGCTCGAGACTGAAGCATTCGAAGATAACACTATCACGACTGGTTGGCTGGATGAGCTCATTTCAAATAAGTTAACCGCCGAGCGCCCCGATCCTATGCTTGCAGTCGTCTGCGGAGCCACAACCAAAGCTCACATTGCTAGCGAGTCTTGCATAGCTGAATATCGTTCTGGGCTTGAGAGAGGTCAAGTTCCCTCTAAAGATATCCTAAAAACGGTGTTCCCGATTGAATTCATATACGAAGGTTCCCGATACAAGTTTACCGCTACTCGCGCAGCTGTTGACAGCTATCATCTTTTCATCAATGGCTCAAAATGTTCCGTCGGTGTTCGCGCACTTAGCGACGGTGGTCTTCTCATTCTTCTAGATGGACGAAGTCACAGTGTCTACTGGAAAGAGGAAGTAGGTGCAACTCGTATTTCAGTAGATAGCAAGACATGTCTGCTAGAGCAAGAGAACGACCCTACACAGCTGCGCACACCTAGCCCCGGTAAGCTTGTCAAGTACACCGTAGAAAGCGGAGGACATGTCAAGGCTGGACAGACATTTGCCGAAATCGAAGTTATGAAGATGTTCATGCCTTTGATAGCCCAGGAAGATGGGTTCGTGCAACTAATTAAGCAGCCTGGTGTTACTGTCGAAGCTGGTGATATCCTCGGCATCCTTGCCCTCGACGACCCTTCCCGAGTCAAGCAGGCCCAACCGTTTCTCGGAGGCCTTCCCGAATTCGGTCCTCCCCAGGTTGTTGGTAGCAAGCCGGCTCAGCGGTTCAGCTTGACGCATAACACCCTCAAGAACATCCTACTCGGCTACGATAACTCAGTAATCATGCAACAGACATTAAGAGAGATGATTGAAGTATTGCGAAGTCCAGAACTCCCGTACAGCGAGTGGGCTTCTCACCATGCTGCTCTCCACTCTCGAATGCCACAGAAGCTTGACACTCAATTGACGCAAGTTGTTGAGCGTGCCAAGGCTCGAGCTTCGGAATTCCCTGCTAAAGCACTAGCTAGGACCTTTTCGAAATTTTTGGATGACAACACTTCACCTAGCGAGGCTGACACTCTGCGAACAACCATTGCTCCTCTTCTTGAAGTTCTCGACGAGTATGCTGATGGTCCGAAAGTGCGCGAGCTAAATGCTATCGCAGGCCTCTTGCAGATTTACGCTGAAATCGAGGGACGTTTCTCGGGCCGTCGAAGCCAGGACGAGGAAGTCATCTTGAAACTTCGGGAAGAGAACAGAGAAGACTACATGAAGGTCATCAGCATCGTTCTATCTCACAGCCGTGTTGGCTCTAAGAATCATTTGGTCTTGGCAATTCTTGAGGAGTACCGTCCTAACAAGCCCAACGTTGGCAACGTCGGAAAGTACCTACGACCAGTTTTGCGCAAGCTTACCGAACTCGAGTCACGTCAGACAGCTAAAGTGTCTTTGAAGGCTCGAGAGATTCTCATTCAGTGTGCGTTACCATCCCTCGAAGAACGAACTGCACAGATGGAACACATCCTCCGCTCATCAGTGGTTGAAAACAAGTATGGTGAGACCGGCTGGGACCACAGAGAGCCTAACCTTGATATTATTAAGGAGGTTGTCGATTCTAAGTACACTGTTTTCGATGTGTTGGCGTCATTTTTTGCTCACGAGGACCCATGGGTTAATGTTGCTGCTCTCGAGGTGTACGTCCGCCGAGCATACCGTGCGTACAACTTATTGAAATTGGAGTATCATGAGGACGAGTCTGATTCAGCTCCTCTTTTCTTGTCCTGGGACTTCTCTTTCCGTAAAATTGGACAGACTGAGTTCTCGGTTCCTCTCCAGTCGGCTAACCCTTCTATCCCTGGTACTCCGACTTCCGAGACCGGTACCTTTGCCCGAATAAGCTCAGTTAGTGACATGTCGTATCTCAACCGCCGTACTGAGGAAGAGCCTACCCGCAAGGGAGTTGTCGTTCCTTGTCGATATCTAGATGATGCCGATGAGATGCTCCAAAAGGCTTTGGAGGTTCTACCAACAAGGAAGCGCCCTGGGCTCATTCCTGACCTCACGGGCAAGCGTAAATCCTTTGCGCAAAAGCCTCTCGAAGAGGAACTAACCAACGTTGTCAACGTTGTGATCCGTGACGTAGAGTCTTACGAAGACGAAGACATTCTCGAACGTATCCACCCTGTGATCGATTCATTGAAGAATGAGCTTGTCAACCACCGAGTTCGTCGTGTCACCTTCGTTTGCGGCCACAATGATGGCTCGTACCCAGGCTACTACACTTTCCGCGCGCCCGAGTTCCGTGAAGATAACAGTATCCGTCATGTTGAGCCCGCTCTAGCCTTCCAGCTGGAGCTTGCACGACTGGCCAAATTCAAGCTCTCTCCCGTCTTCACGGAGAACAAGAATATCCATGTGTATGAAGGTATAGGCAAGGGAGTTGACACTGATAAGCGATACTTTACCCGTGCTGTCATTCGACCAGGCCGCCTTCGGGATGATATACCCACAGCCGAGTATCTTGTTTCTGAAGCCGACCGAGTCATCAATGACATTTTCGATGCCCTTGAGATCATCGGCAACAATAACTCTGACTTGAACCACATGTTCCTGAACTTCACTCCTGTTTTCCAGCTCAAGCCTCAGGAAGTCGAGCAGTCTCTTCAGGGTTTCTTGGACCGGTTTGGTCCTCGTGCTTGGCGTCTTCGTGTCTCTCAGGTTGAGATTCGTATTATTTGCACGGACACAACTACAGGAATGCCTTACCCTCTGCGTGTTATCATTACTAACACTTCTGGATATATTATCCAGATTGAGCTCTACGCGGAGCGAAAGTCGGAGAAGGGTGAAATGGTCTTCTATTCAATTGGCGGCACAACCAGGATTGGCTCGATGCACTTGCTACCTGTCTGCACGCCATACCCTACCAAGAACTGGCTCCAGCCTAAGCGTTACAGGGCGCATTTGATGGGTACCCAATATGTATATGACTTCCCCGAGCTTTTCCGTCAAGCTGTTGAGAATACTTGGTCGAGGACTACCAAAGCCCTACCGTCATTAAATGACAAAAAGCCTGCCCAGGGTGAGTGCATTGATTACAGCGAGCTCGTACTCGACGACCGTGATAAGTTGATCGAGATTTCTCGTGAGCCTGGCACCAATTCGTGTGGTATGGTTGGGTGGCTCATTAATGCTCGCACCCCCGAGTACCCCGAGGGCCGAAAGTTCATTGTCGTCGCCAACGATATCACTTATAAGATTGGATCTTTTGGTCCCAAAGAAGATCACTTCTTCAACAAGTGCACGGAATTGGCTCGAAGCCTCGGCATTCCGCGAATCTATCTCTCTGCCAACTCTGGTGCGCGACTCGGCCTTGCTGATGAGCTTATCCCGCACTTTAAGGTAGCTTGGAAAGATCCGGAGAGGCAAGAATCGGGCTTCAAATACCTCTACCTGGATGCGGATGCTAAGAAGCGGTTTGAGGACGGTGCTAAGCGCGACGTTATCACTGAGGAGGTCACTGAAAATGGCGAGAAGCGCCACAAGATTGTGGCCATCGTGGGTGCTGAAGACGGACTTGGTGTTGAGTGCTTGAGGGGCTCTGGTCTTATTGCTGGTGCCACAAGTCGTGCATACAACGACATCTTCACAGTTACCCTCATTACATGCCGTTCTATCGGTAAGTTTAACTGATCCTCTAGTTCATTAAGGTTAATTGCTAATTTTATATAGGTATTGGCGCATACCTCGTCCGCCTTGGCCAGCGTGCCGTTCAGATTGAGGGCCAGCCCATTATTCTAACTGGTGCTCAGGCCCTCAACAACTTGCTTGGCCGCGAAGTTTACACCTCTAACCTACAGCTTGGTGGTACCCAGATCATGTACCGAAATGGTGTGTCTCATTTAACTGCTAATGATGACTTCGCCGGTGTGTGCAAGATTGTCGAGTGGCTTTCTTTCGTTCCTGCTCGGCGCAATCTGCCTGTGCCGATTACGCCTAGCCTCGACACCTGGGATCGTGAGGTGATATACACCCCACCTAACAAGCAGGCGCACGATGTTAGATGGCTCATTGGCGGTAAGCAAGACGATGATGGATTCCAGCCAGGTCTCTTTGATAAGGACTCCTTCGTTGAGACTCTTGGTGGCTGGGCCCGCACCGTTGTTGTTGGCCGTGCTCGTCTTGGCGGTATCCCGATGGGTGTTATTGCTGTGGAGACTCGAACCGTTGAAAACGTTACCCCCGCTGATCCTGCGAATCCCGACTCCGTTGAACAAGTCAGCAATGAAGCTGGCGGTGTTTGGTACCCGAACTCTGCATTCAAGACCGCCCAGGCTATCAACGACTTCAACTACGGCGAACAGCTTCCTCTTATGATCCTTGCCAACTGGCGAGGTTTCTCCGGTGGTCAGCGAGACATGTACAACGAAGTTTTGAAATATGGTTCGTACATTGTCGACGCCCTCGTCAAGTTTGAGCAACCTATTTTCGTTTATATCCCGCCCTTTGGCGAGTTGCGCGGTGGCTCTTGGGTTGTGGTCGACCCTACCATTAACCCTGTCGCCATGGAGATGTATGCGGATGTCGAATCTCGTGCCGGTGTCCTAGAGCCGGAAGGTATCATTGGTATCAAGTACAAGAAAGAAAAGCAGCTAGAGACTATGTCTCGCTTGGATCCCCTCTACGCTTCGCTTAAGAAGCAGATTGCTGATAACAGCTTGTCCAAGGAGGAGCATGCGGAGCTTAAAGAAAGGATGACAGAGCGTGAGAAGCAACTACTACCTATCTATGCGCAGATCGGCCTGCAGTTTGCAGATTTGCACGACCGCGCTGGCCGCATGAAGGCCAAGGGTACTATTCGCGAGGTCTTAGAGTGGAAGAATACTCGCCGCTTCTTCTACTGGCGTGTCCGTAGACGTCTCAACGAGGAACATATTCTCAAGCGCATGGCTAGTGCCTCATCTTCGAAGGTTATCGACTCGAACAGCGCTGCTGCTACTGAGAGCCGTCAGCACAACCTTCGTCTGCTTGCAGCTTGGTCTGGGGTCACCAATTTCGACCACAACGACAAGGATGTAGTGACATGGTACGAGGAGAACGCTGAGACTATTGAGACCAAGATCGAGCAGATCAAATCGGACGCTGTCGCGCACGGATTGGCCGATTTGCTTAGATCAGATAAGACCTCAGCTCTTAAGGGTTTGAAGGACATGCTACACGTGATGCCTGTCGGCGAGCGGGAGGAGATTCTCAAGTACTTACAGTAAATGAGGTGATGATACGTGTCAATGCATAATGAAAGGAAGGAAAGGGGAACTGTAGGATTTGACGACGGGGTATGGATGGGTCTAAAGGAGGCCAAGCCTACGTCGTGTATATTTAAGTCTGTTTGGGATTTGGTTTAGGCGTCTGTCTTCGTTGCGTCGGCGTGGTTAATCTTCATAAGTTCTTCTACTTGGTGTAAACATCCTTAGATAGCTCATCCTATTTGTTTGGACATGAGGATGGCAATTCCGAGTTTTCCTTGTTTACTTTACCTAAGATTCAGTTTCAAAATAGAACATCATAGGACCTATATTCTATCATTTGTCTCGCCTCTTGCCTGGGTAACATGCAATAATAAGTAATCGCATGTCTCTTGCTTCCCTGGTAGCCTTAATATGACCTTATTAACCTCATCATGCCGGTAATTAAGCTCGTAGAGTATTAAACCCATTGGACAACGACACTCAAAAACAGGGCTTAAGCGTAGCAGTGAGAAATTGCTTTATAATTACTACACTAGCCTCTTGTTAGATTGACTACGTCCTATGCGTGTTTTGGTATGCTTATCAAATAGGCGGAAGCTTATGTTTATTAGGTGTAGGTACCCAGCTAAAGCAAGTTGTGCTTGAGTTTACGAAAAGGATATTTCACATAGTGCTTAAGAAACAACGCATTAATTAACGAGGCAGCTCTACTTAATAAGCCCTTGTGACCAGATTAACTTGAACAGTCATCTGAGGACAAAATAGTAGCTAAGCTGAAGTGTAACTCACAGGACATGTATAATGGCGCTGTTTTCACAACCCGCTAAGTTCATCCAACACACAGACCGTATCCTATGGTAGATCCGTCTAGGATGGCATCGATGTAGATATAATCCCATTTCCTCCGGTCTCCCCCCCTTTCTCTCTCTTCCTTTTCCCTCGATCATCAAACTCCTGACACCTCGCAACCCTATTGCTAACATCAAAATAGATGATCGAGGCTCTCGGGTCGGTATTGTGAAAAATACATTGAGCAAAACTGCCAGTATCTTAGATGATGCCGCTGAAAAAATTGAAAATGCAAATGGAAATAAGCTCCTATTTATTCCACCCTCGATTGATTGTTCGAGTTAAGCTGTCTAGGTTAGGTTCCGTAAACACAGGCTGTGAAATACGCGCGGTTGAACGGAGCATCTGATGGACTTTAACGGGATCGAGTTGAGAACACGTGGTCTGCTGGTACCCACGAAGGTTTGGTATACCTCCCTTGGTTGGGTTGACAAAGTCATCCAGACTATTTGCTATGCATGCTATATCGAAAAGGCCAAAAGTTGCACAGAGAGGCGAATTTCGGTTCAATTCATACTTTCCTGTTTCGACTGTACCTTCTTCATGCTGATAGTCCTTGGAGTGATTAGGGCCGTTGCTTTTATTGAAAGAGTACTCGTATGCATATGCGATCCATAATGACTTCTTGGAGTTGGTGACATCCATAAGCAAGAAGAAATTTGTACCAATAAGGTCAGGTGGTGCCTTGTCAACTCGCGGTTGGTATACATGGATCTCTCCTAGAGGTAATGCATAGCGGAGCGGCGGAGCGAAGATGATATTCGAGACAGGGTACTCGACTTCACAGACGTTGCTGCGATAATGCAGCAGTGAAGACAATCGCCTCGCATCTAAATGTTGGTCGCCATCGAGGTGTCCGCGTTTATATCGTGGTAGCATTAGGGGCGCTCGCTCATAAGCCTCATACTCAGTGTTCCACCATCCTTTCTCGCTGGCTCCTAGACGTACGAAGTATACCGTACCGTCGTTTAGCGTACATAGACAATAGTCTCTCACCGCAACTGGCGTACTGACAAACTCTTCCATCCCGTACGGTGCACGAAAGTCGAGGCTCTTAAGATAAGTTACAAAATTGGCACGAGTAACGGCCTCTAGTTGGTAACTCTCATGATTGATATCGTTATCGTGAATATCGAAAGCACTATCTTGAAGGGGCCGTTCTCCTAGGAAGATAACGTCATCACCACTATCATCGCCGCCTTCATCAATTGCTTTATCTGGCTCTGTCGCTTGTGTTCGTGCCTGGGCTGCTGCGTCTTGGTGGGTTTTGGGATCGGTAGATTTGTGATTAACGTTGTCTGCTTCGGTGGAAGCCTGCATATCATGGAGAGCACGCGACATTTCGTGTACACGTGCCTCCAACTCATTGGTTTGACCTTCGAGCATTGATAGATTATCTATATCTCGACGCAAGTCGCGAATTACGGCTACTCTGGGCAACTTGAAATCATTATATGATCTGTTCAGTGATCTGACAATCGCTTCGAGTTCCGCAACACGGGCATTGAGAGGGTCCGGGCCTTGTTGGAAATTCTGGGGTTGAAAAGAGTCTTGGAAATTAGACATAGGTTCCCTGGGTCTTGAAGGCATGGTACTTGATCTAAGTCGGTGGCTAGTATGGGAGGCCATAGGCGGACGGAAAACATAGTCTCTCTCCCTCGAATTTTGCTGTCGAGGATTGGGCAGATATTCGGAATAGTCGAAAGGCTGTGCGTCAGTTGCGTCAGTTGCGCCAGTTGGACTCCAGGGTCTAGACGACTGCGAGCTAAAATGGTCAGGATAGAAGCCGTGATAAGGTGTAGCTCTGTTGAGGGGAGGTCTGGTAAAGAAGTCGTCGGGAGATGGCCCATGATATGTAAAGTTTGGGGATGCAGGTTCTGGTCTTGGTCTCTTGGGTGGATCGTCGTAGGGGTCAACCGTGAAGGGACGAATACGCTTATGATTTGCGTTCGCCATGATAACTCGGCTGATTTGACTTGTTGACAATTTGCTGGATGGGTTTAAGATTGATTACCTATGTAGCAATAGCTAGCACTCGAGAAATATAATAAAACGGATGTGTATTCTGCATAAATACGAAGTGGGCAACTTTTATCATTGACGGAGTTGACACGGTTGTTGAGTGGTTAAAAAAGATCAATAACCGACGAGAAGGAGAAAGTTGTTAAATTTTGAAGCCGAAAAGCTGAGTCATAACTACTAACTATTGGCTACTGGTTAATTCGTAATGATGGCAGGTGGAAGCCGTCGTTACTTCCTTGATATATTTGAAGAGAAATTGGGAGGGAAGGCATCAACATCGTTTGTTTCCTAAGTGATCCACAACTCGGGCCATGGTAAATATATACATGTAGGTACCCAGTGTCCGGATACTGCGGTTTCATGTACCTACCTAAATTATGATTCATTCGAACCCGACATCACCTAGGTAGGTACCTATCTAAGGTTAAGAGGTAGGCAACCAAGGTAGAACCTAGGTAAGTTGAGAACAATGTACGTTACATATTTTCTCCTATTACTCCCCCCTTTTTCATTTCAACTACCCCTTAAGTCCTATAACCCTGTCACTACCTTACCTGAGCTATCTATCTTAGGCACCTTTATGTATAGTCGTACCTCCTTTTCAATGTACTTAGATAGACCTAGTAGATACCTGGTACAATCTTGTACTTCACAATGCTCTTATACTTCTCCCAATCCTCTCCGTACTTCTTAACACACTTCTCGTCATCTCGTCCGTCGCGATGAATCAGAAGGACGGCAAAGTAAACAACGTAGAAGTAAGTGAAAAGCATACCCCAATACTTGGCTGGGCCTTGCACTATTTCCCTCCCGTCAAGTGTCTTGATAGCACCTTCAAGATTGCTGCCAGCTGACATGACGACATATCCGGCAAAACCAGTGGGTAAAGCATAAGGCCACGATTGCAGCCAATCGCCGAAATAATTGATGTGTCTTGCGACACCCCACCAGCCTGATATCATCAGTCGCGAACCCGTCTTGGTCTCGATGTACTTGATATGGGAAACACGAGGGTCGTTAGGGTTGGTACGGAAGATATTCTTTTGGAGGTTGCTTAAGCGGAAGATACCAAAGCCCGCAATTAGGAGAATGGAAACCCCTGTAGTACCTAGCCAACCGAGGGTTACTGGGTGTGTAGATAGGTATCGTGTTTGCTGGCTATAAATGAAGGGGACCCAGACGAGGTCTCCGAAGGACAGCATGAAGCCGAAACCGTCGTTGATAATATCGATGGTCGTAAGAATAGCGGGTTCCATGTACACTGCATCTAAACAGTAGACGGTCTGTACGATGGCGATGAAGACAATGCTGTCGGTCACGTAGCCGAAGGTACGGTACTGCTTGGAGATGAAAGCACAGTTTAAAAGGATCCAGCCAAGCATACCGGGGCGTAGCTCCATCCACTCCTTGATGTCAATCTCGCCAATGATTGGAAGGGTAACGCGAGGGTTGAGCTCCCGTCCAATATAGAAATCGTAGATCAAGTTACCAGAGCAGCCACCCTCAGCAAGTTGTCGAAACTGAGGGTTACCCGGCTTCACAGAAAAGCTACGGACGTAGACAAACGTTGCAAGTGAGTAAGCAATGATGATGTTGGCGGTCAGAATCTGTACGTAGTTGTCGGCAATGAAAGTCCACACGGGAAACTCGGCGCCTTGTGCAACAGTTCCGGCAAGGCAGAGAGAGAGGGTAAACATGTGCGAGGAGAAAGCTTTAATAGACTGCGTTAGCTAAGCTCTACCCCGCGAAGACTTTCTGATCTAGAGAATACTCACCGTTGAACCTATACTTCAGCCTTCCTCCGGACGATAATTCTGAACCCTCAACTTCGGTAGCAGGGAGAATACGGTATAGAAGAGCGCTGAAGAAGTAGTATGCCAGAGTCCAACCGGTGGCTTTCCAGCTACCTAGACCTAATATACCGTCCTCAGGCCATCCCACCTCGGCCTTCAATTGCTCGATAGACAATGTTTTTGGACTTAATAGCGATGGCGCGGGACAACCGGAAATATCGTTACAACCAAAGGTGATGATATAGCAGAGAATAGGAAGACCGAACGTAATAGCGGCGGTACCGAATCTAAATAGTTATATATCATTAGCTTTAACAATTTTTATCTGAGTTTCTATAATAAACACTTACGGACCGCCAAACTCATAGCCATGCGAGCTATGCGCTGGCTGAGGTTGCTTTGACTTAGACGACATATTTAAAGTTGTATCGCGATCCAGAGGTTAGAATATTGTTTAGGAAGAGAGAACTTGTTAGTGTTGTTGTTCTCCCGAGGAGCGCCTGAAGGCTCCTTTTTATAATTCAATAAACTTCCTACCTGGCCCTCTTCTACCCGTCTCTATCTTGAATGCGCGTTTATTCGAGGCGGTGCGAATTTGTGAAAAGTGACCGGCTCCCAACGTCCCGCATGGTACGATAGTAGAAGTTTTGTATGTAGATAGGAGAGCTTACCGGAAATCTTGGCTTCCGAGTGACACCATTTTTGACTTCATTACTACCTCCATTTCCCCAAGCTCATGTGGAGACGTCAACCAGTAAATCTTAAGTACCTAACCTTATGTACCTAGGTATCTAGGTATATTGGACCTATTGATGTACCTAGGTATCTAGGTATATTGGACCTATTGATGTACCTAGGTAATTTTAAGGTTCTCTCGTTTCAACGGCATCTTGACCAATCAAAGTGAGCAGAATACTAAGGTTCCACTACCAAGTGACCAATGATGAAAGAGTATCTTCAGAGTAGCGGCAGCTAAAACGTGTAATCCGAGTAACTCTAACCACACAGTAAAATTCTCCTAAAAAAACAGCAAAATCATTTTCACGTGAGATACGCCACCACGAGCCACCACGCGCCACCACGCACGGCCATTTGAAAAGAATGGCCCGTTTACTTAACCTTATGAATATGTTCCACTTGCATTATAACCATAAATATTTTAAACAAAAAAATAATTTTTAATATATTTATTTTAAAATTTAATATAAAATGAAAATAAAATGTATAAAATTAATTATAAAATAAAATTAAAATATTTAAAATTTTTTTTGTTTTTATTTATTTTTTTACATTTTTTTATAATTTATTAATTTTTTTAAAAAAATAAAAATAAAAAAGAAAATTTAAAATAAAATAAAATAAAATAAAATAAAATAAAATAAATAAAAATATTACGTAATATAATTAATAAGTTTTATTTTTATTTATTTTTATTTATTTTTATTTATTTTTATTTATTTTTATTTATTTTTATTTATTTTTATTATATAATATAAATATATTAATTTTATATATTTTATATATTATTTTTTATTATTTTATTTATATTTTATTTTATTTTTATTTATATTTTTTTTAAATTTTAAAAAAAAATAAAAACTTACGAAAAATATATTCGGTTACAATGCAAGTGGAGCATAAGTATGGGGTTGGGTAAACTAGCCATTTTTTAAATGGCCGTACATGGTGGTTTGTGGTGGCTTGTGGTGGCTTATAGTGGCTTATCTCACGTGAAATTGATTTTGCTGTTTTTTTAGGAGAATTTTACTGTGTGGTTAGAGTTACTCGTGTAATCCGTACAAACGAAGTACGTACCACTCTCGATGATCTTCCATTAGGTCAGGGGTCCGTGGATGTCGAGTTGCGCTAAGAATAGGTAATAGCGGCTTAGACGGCAAATCGACAACTTGGCTTATTGAATCTTTGAATGTTTAGAACAACTTTGTAAGAAAAAAAAAAGACACGAACTTCATGAATAAACGAACAATTGAACCAACACCCCATCGAAATCGATATTATTGCATTAAAGGTTTCGATATACAATAGTTTATGTCTAGGTTCTTTTTCGATATCTGCGTAGCGCATCCAGCGCATTTCTCCGACCGAAAAGAAAACCAACCGTGCTCCATACCTCTTTAGCCATAGCCTATCTCGCAACCATGCGCTTCTCTTCTGGCTCGACATATATATGTCCGACATTACTCTCCCTCCTTTGCCTCACTTCTACCTCACTTGCCGCTGATGCCGACAAGACGACAACTTCAACAGCGTGTACCGCGTCATCAACATCAGGCGCCTTCTTCGATTTGCGGCCCGACATAGCCCTTAAGAAGAATTCCGACGGGTCTAAGCCCGCGCATAGCAACGGAGCCCCGCTAGTGGACTACCATGCTAAGGGCTATGATTACGGGTTCAACTTCACATTGAACATCTGCGCTGCCGTGGTAGAGCCTGTTGACGAAGTGATCGGCGTGGAGCCGAGTCAGTGGAAGAATGTCAGCGCGTATTATACCTCCAAGGGTGACATATATAGTCTGGGTCTGCAGTCCGGCGCTCTAATATCGAGAGGCAAGGAGCTGGTTCTACAATATACGGGAGGATCGCCATGCGGAAAGAGCGTGAAGAGGGATGCAGATCTCGAAAGTAGGAGTTCTTCTGTCCACGAAGGCGCGGCCCATAAGGGATCCGATTTCGAGCGCGAAGAAGATACACCGGCGCCTACGAAAACGGCACTCGCGACTAGCACCCGGAAATCCTCCAAAGAGACGGACGAACCGAAGCGAAGAAAGTCGACCACCATATTCTTCAGTTGTGACAGAGACGCTGGTGCTGGCGCAGCTCAAGTCTCCTTCATCGCGACAGATCCGGAAGAGTGTTCATACGTATTCAAGGTCAAGTCACAGCACGCATGTGCAGGCGTAGAGCCGCACAAGCCGGGAAGCGTGGGGCCAGGTTCCGTGTTCCTAATCATCTTTGCCATCGCCGTACTGGTATACCTCCTCGGCGGTATATTTTACCAGCGCACAGTAGCCCACGCCCGGGGCTGGAAACAATTGCCAAACTACTCACTATGGGCCAGTGTTTGGAGTTTCATCTGTGTAAGTGCTTGTTCTATTCTACGATCACGATTACGATGGGAAGATATAAAACAGAACTTGAAGCTAATTGTTACTGCTAAACATAGGATTTCTTCGTCATGGCCACCTCCTCTTGCGCTCGGCTCCTCCCGAACCGGAGAGGATATCACTACGTATCGGGATCACCATCCGGAAGGGGTCGAAGTAACCGTGAGGACGAAAACCGGTTGATCGACCAATACGATGAGGAGTGGGAGGATTGATGGATTTTCTTTTTTATGGGTTTATTCTTAGCTTGTAGTTTTCTTGATTGATTTGCATGTTATTACTACCTAGATTTTTACCAACAGGGCCTGGTTGTAATACTAGAACTAGACGTTCGGATAGAAAACACATGGCATATGTTTTATTCTTAACTTTTATTCCTTTCACTTTCTTTCATTTTCTTTCAGAATAACTTACCTAGGTATTATGTATGCGTGTAACTAGTTATGAATGTATGTATTAGTTAGGGATGTAAGGTCATGAATGGAATGATGGAAAACGTTGGGTCATTGGGTATTGCTTGATTGGCTCTACTGCAGCCGGGCGGCGCAGTTGGATATCTTGGGAAGCTGGCAATTTTTAGCATGTTTCAATGTTTCAAGGTCTCAAAGTGAACCGTCATATACATAATAGGCTAGGCATATATGTGTTCCTATCCAATTTCTGTGTAAATTTATCCGCATTTGAGTGTCTAAGTAAAGAGTCGTAGAGATGAGAAATATTATGAAAAATAATCTCATCGCTACCTAGGTAGTTTGTAATACCGTTTAGTTAAACTGTATCTCTTAAGGAATCATAAGACTTGTAATATAGCTTTCGTTGGTAACACGACGGCTCGCAATCAAAAAAGAAAAAAAAAAGGCGTGGAGGCTATGCCGTAGATAGATATATGGAATCAACATACCTTGATGGGTTAACCTATTCGGTCAGGTAGTTTTGAAGGTTTAGTAGGTCTACTCTATATGCGAAACGCCGCAGGTTTAAACCTCCTGAAATCCCACCCGCGAAAGTGACCGATCATGGGCTCACTCTAACCCGATTACGCGACCTGATGGATTGACTCTTCCCTTTATATGGCTGATGCCCAGTGATGCAGGACATCCTTCGCCGAGAAGATGGGATTGCCATCTGCATTTGTTTCCTTGCTTCGTTTCCTTTAGCCTTACTCTCTCAGTTGTCATCTATTTTCTTTGCATTTTCATTCTTGCTACCATATCACATTGCATTCATTCGACGGCGGGACCTCCATTCATTTCTTTTTCTTTTTTCGCCTCTTGACTTTCCTTATGTTCAATTCGTAAGAAGCTTTTATTAAGAAATGTACTTTAAGAAGTCGATTTTCTTGTTGGCCGCGGCGCGTGTTGTCCTTGCAAAGGTTCAATTTCTAGTACGTAGCCACTTACAGCTTATACAACGATCAATGCTAACATGATATTTCAAGGGAGTTTCTATTGCGGGAGGCGAATTCGGGTGTAAGAACGATGTAAGGATAACCGAAGCTATAATTGAGGTTCCAGGTTAACATAATGAAAGGGAACATGTCCTTTAGACTCCGCAAAACTTCCTGACGATGGAGTTACTCAAATGTGGCACTTTGTCGGAGATGACGCCATCAATATACTGAGAATGCGTATGACCACCATTCAAGATGTCTTAACTTAAATATGACTAACGAGTCTACTCAGCAACATCATGGCAGTTTCTCGTCAACGACAATTTAGGCGGAAAGCTCGATAGCAACAACTTTGATAAATATGACCGATTGATGCAGGCTTGTCTCGCCACCGGCGCATACTGTATGATCGATATCCACAACTACGCTCGATGGAACGGCAAGATCATCGGACAGGGTGGACCGACGGATGACCAGTTCGTCAATCTCTGGGAACAGTTGGCGAAGAAGTACTCCGACGAGGATAAGGTTGTCTTCGAGCTCATGAACGAGCCGCACGACATCGATGTCGATACGTGGGCGAAGACTTGCCAGCAAGTTGTCACGGCTATTAGAAAAGCGGGCGCGACGAAGCAGATGATACTGCTTCCTGGATCAAATTCCGATGGCGTGGCGACACTAACCAAGGACGGCGGTGCGGAGCAATTGCTAGATATCACGAACCCTGACGGATCAACAGATAATCTGCTCTTGGATATCCATGCTTATTTAGATAAGGACGGCTCGGGGACGAACAAGCAGTGTTCAACGGATAACACTGATGCGTTCACGGACCTTGCGAAGTTCCTGAGGAAAAAGGGGAGGAAAGGTCTCGTCAGCCAGACCGGTGCGTCGCAAGATTCTTCTGTAAGTTTTAGCTACATATCTTCTCATTCTATCGTCTATATTAGCCGTTACGTGTTTCTAATAAGGTTGGGTAGTGTCTTAAGATGTTTTGTGCGCAAAACACACTTATCAACGACAACTCGGACGTCTTCGTAGGCATAGTTGGTTGGGGCGCTGGCAACATCGAGACCTCTGATATCCTAAGCTTGACGCCGTCGAAAAAAGATGGACGTTTAGTTGATAATCAGTTGATGTCTGAATGTCTGGTCGATACATGGGCCAATGCTAAGGAAGTAATTGATCCGCCAAAGCCGGAGCCGGAGTCGACAACAAAGGAATTCATTCCTACTTTTACTACCTCCTTATCGAGGAGCATTGTTACGCCACCTGCGCGCACATCTTCATCTGCAGACTCTGTAGACTTCGACGAACCGGTTGTCACGGTCCATGTCCTTTCCGATATAAGTATACTACAGACAGCGGAGGTACCCCCCACCCTCACGACATTGATAACCGCTGCCGGATCGCCGAGCGACGAATCTTATAGTATTGCATGGGAAATACCGACTATCACACCATCAATCAGCCAGACTCAAATACCTGGCCCGACACCGACAGCAGAAGCCCCATCAATGAAAGCTATGACGCTTCTCATCTGGGGTTGCGTACTGTTACCTTTACTTTTATGATTTTAGAAATCATAATAGTTTAAATGTTTGAAAAAAGAAAAAATCGACGGCCGTAGTCTCTGCGGCCCGGTAGATAATGAGGTCAGGACCTCACAACCTGTGAGCGTATGGTTTTGCTCGAGATAGGAATCTCAATGTTTGCGAATGGTCGCTGGAATATGAATCATCAGGCGTATGAGATCGGCTATTCTTATTTAGGCTTCTGATCAGAATTTGTGTCATATTGGATTTGAACACTTCCTTGTATATACTTGCATTGATGCACCGATACCATTAACACGATCCTCGTTGGATTGCTGGCAAAGAATGTCTTGGATAAATTGTGATTTTGAGTAAGATGTGAGAAGTCTAATCTGATAGGTAATTGCTAAATAGCTCACCGATTATGTGTATTACGAATCTCGTTGAAACGGACATTTGGTATTATGTATAGTAAAAGGGGTATGATTAAGATACCTAAAGTTCTTGATCTGCCTGTGAATTACTTTGTCGGAGTTAATAAAAGACGATCATGAACTGATAGCTGCATCTTTTTTCACACTGTATAATATATCTGGAAGTTGCGAGATGCGGGCGCTACTGCAAGGGAAACGCACTAATAAAACCACCATAACAACTTCTAAGTCTGGTACGATACTGTTTTTTATGGGACTGTATACACTGTGCTTTGTACATGTTTACACTGTCCCCTCACCCACGTCATTGCAGGTGGCAGGCATTACAACTAGCTAACAGCTTCCAGCCAGCCCGAGTCCACAACATTCAGTTTGTTCAACATTAAGCCACAAAGCCTCGTTTCTAACCCACCGTGCCTATCTCTTGTCATAATCACTCATCCAACTCCGACGAGACTATATACATCATATATGTTAGTTACAAAATATTACATTAACATGTCTGAACTGTCGGAATCTATAAAGGCTATACAAGAAGCGTCCAAGGAAGACCGCTTTACATATCTCACCATCCTCCAATACCATGTTACTTCTCCAGAAATCTTACCGGCCTTAAATGAAGTCCTCCAAGATGCCGATCTCACGCAAGAAATTGGTTGGGATCTGGTACAGATGCTACTGAACATCGATGGCTCGGAAACATGTCTCGAGACGGTGGCCCGTTTAGGAAACCCCCGCGAAGTCGTCATTAAAGTTATGGAGGCGCTGGAGGGTCTTACTGTCGCCTGGAATGACGAAGTAGTCGTCGATGTGGAGGAACCCGGACTCATCCCGGACTCCAAAATACCGGGGAAATTCATCACTCTACTTGGCATGCTCGCGATTCTTCACCAGCGTATCAAGACAAAGTACCCCTCTCGATTTCTGGGGCCATCGCTAGTGAAGGTGTTCGAGGCCTATCAGCCCACACCGGAGATGACTGCCTCCGTAATAAATCTAGTCTATTCGCTCTCAGGCCGTAAAAGGCCACCCTTACCCTCTAGGAAATCTAGCATTAATGTGGCCAATCCCGATCAAGATGGAGATGATTCTAAGAATGCGCCCGATCCTGAGGCTGAGCAGGAGGATCCAAAAGAGGAAGCCATGCAGCAGAAGCTACTACAAGCTTTTGTTACGTGTATCTTACAGCGATATGTAAATGCATACGACATGCTATGGTCACCTCGACTTCTGGAGGTATACCACCCGCAAAAGAATGTTCCAGGTAAGAAGACGACGATTGAAGCGTTTAGGGAAAACGAGGAACTACAAAAACGAGATGCAGTAGTAGGACATCTTGTTGTAAGTTTACCCACCACCTCCTACTCAATATTCTACTAGAGCTAACATCGCTTAGGCCTTACTACGTGATCTCGGTCTAAGTAATTGCTCAAAACAGTTCGTAAAGAGTATTTCCGAAGGTCCAGTTCATAGAGATCCCCTGGCAGCTTTCGACGACTTTTCCTCGGTGGATGATATACACTACTCCCCGGGTGGGTCCGTGTGTCTTATCGCCTACTGGTTATTCTCGAGAGACGTCTTCGGCTCAGATAGCCCTTGGCCCGAGATGCACATATTCCCGGACCATGCCTCGATACTCGGGCGATTTCTTGGCAGGGAAATGCAGTCAGAGATTCTTGCTAGTCCGGGAATCGCCGATGCTTTACTAGCTATCGGACTCGGACTCGAATATCGGAAACTAGTAAAAGCTGAAGATTATACAAATCTAATGGCCTATCACCATAATCTGACGCTCATCTCAGTATTCCATCCGGACATTCAAGTCAGGAACGCCGCCACATCATTTGCTGGCACTCTTCTCCACTCCGAGCCTGACGACCATAACCGATTAGAAATCCTCGAGGATCTATTAGAGAACTGCATGTTTGCGTCTCTCAAAGCATGTGCGATCACGTGGCTAAAAGAAGAGCTCATCGCCGCCAGGGAAAGCAAGCGATCCAATCAGTTCTCTTCCCCTGACGTCATTGAACGACTACAATATTTCTTATTCCCCGATATGCTGTCCTTAAACGAATCGAGCCCCGAGGCGCTAATTGACTTTTGGGCTCAAAACAACCTATTCCTCCTACAAGTTGCGAACTTCGCCTACTTCCTATTTATCGGCTTTAAGGAGCTCGTACCGGCCGGCATGGGGGCAGCAGTGGGGCAGCGGTTTGTGGAGCCCTTAATAGCCGCGGCGGAGAAGCTTCAGAAGGCGGAGGGAGTAGACGGTGAGAATCAGATGCAACTTAGCATACTTACGGATCGACTTCGTAGTCTTGGCCTACAATAGGTCTTATGTGGTCTGGTTATTTTGGGGGTATCGGTGGGATTAGCGGGTTGTTGGAATCTTGCGTGATGTGAGGGATGTGTATGACAGCTATCAAATAACCTCGTCTTGATGAGATGAATACCAGTCTCAGATCAGTTTCAATGATTACTCAAAGTTTTCAATTGTCTACGCTAGTTGTATATACCCAGTGAGGTAGATACCGGCGACCGCCTTGGAGAGGCTGTGGACCAAGTTCCTGTTTTTCTCATCCCGCTGAACATTTCAGTGCCGACTGAATGTTACGTCCCCCATGATGTCAACTACACAATATGCTACCAGACTCAACATATTTTGACCGACGCTCCATTTGCTACATTGATTAACATCCCCGTGCTCAATGCTTTGATGGATGGTATTCACAAGGTAGTCAACATGGGGTGTAACCTATCTTCAAGATCCTTAACGACAGACGGGGTCGAGGTTTTCTGATTAACCCGGCGACGAAATGTATGTACCTTATAATTAATATTGGTGAGTGACATTTCACTAAAGAACTTCTTGAACGACCCATAAACCGTCGACTTGGACGTATTAGATCTTAGATTATGAAGATCAAGTGATGCGGTTCCTGAATTGATATATAGGCGATTCGGACCGAAACCTACGTATATGCCTAATAGTATGTTAGTATCATAAGAATTAAAGAGTCAGTAGTTACATGCCAAAATACTTGCCGTACTTCTGATGCCACAAGTAAAATTCAATATGACGATCGTCACTTGAGATTCAATATACTGTATACCAATCCGTACATGCTGCTAAGAGCGGACCCAGGTATCTAGCTAAATGGTGGACTGCTAGCAAATATACAATGCGCAATAAAACCTACAAGGTCATATATTTAGTCTAAACTGCCCATCGTGTCAAGTGTTCGGATACAAACTCACAAACTCAAGACTGGAAAGTAAAACTCCATTTACGTATAAAGAAAAGCATGGAAGCTTCATTAAATAACCAAGTAGCGCTTTTACAAATAGCATAGAACAGCAGCAGAAAGTAAGAGCTACTTTGATATGATAGGGTTGCATGACAAATTACAGCAAGGTATTCGTATAGTTTTGGACGAAGTCAGTACTATATTGCTATTGAAGCGCAAATTTTGGGCTACTCGTTTATAGGAAGGGTAATGAAAATGTAATGTGAATCCCAACGGTGGTCACAATTCGAGGAGAAAGATTTCATCGCCTTGATGGTGAAAATGCCTAGGTGTCAGGCGGTAACTTCATACATGTGCAATTAACATCGATATATTGTTGGAATTGTAGTAGCCTGATGCCTGTGTAGTACAGTGTCTCGGAAGAAGTACAGTCAGAGACTTACCGCCAGAGTAGGATGAATTTAGGTGTAGGTACACAAGGACACGATGAGGTGAGAAGCCCCTTTTAGACCGCTCTATCATCACTAATCAACATTACCAAAATCCCGCATAACCCTGCCTTTAATTAATGATGCAGGAAGGATCCTTCATACGATTATAAGTGTAACAGTTACGATTGAATTGTGTCTCGATTCACATAATCCTACTCGTGTTTCTAGCCTAGGTATAGAGGAAGATATCGGTGAAGCTATGAATATCAAGAAGGCATTTGGGGGACAACCTGGTCGGTTGAGGTCTGCCTAGATGGAAGGTAGTCCGGTAGCAAAAGCTTATGAGTTGTTCTTAGTATATTAAAACGTGGTCATGGTATTTTGAAGTTGGGGATAACCACGAGCAAAAGCGAAGCTCCTCAAAAGACTGGGAATAAAACTCATCATGGCTCAAATCACAACCCAGAGTGGCTCGAAAAATAGTGCTAAGGCAATTAATTACCTTTTAAAATATATCCATATCTTAGCTAAAGGAGGCATTGATCGTGCTAACTCGTGTTTTGCAGTATGTCCGCACAATTGGGATCAGTTTCCCTCTTCAGAGCTGTGTACCTAGTCTTACCCTAATGACGATGATTTGGCTCTATAATGATCTCGAGGGCGGCAGTGATGGCCCATTACTACGAAATGCGCTTAATGCAGCAGGACTGACGTGCTTTGCTTGGGGAGCTGTTACAGTGCTATTTAACGGACAGATAGATGAGGAGGAAGGCCGGATTCTATGCAGGTGGTATACAGTTATGGCTGCTGTTATTATGACCACAATACATGCGCAGGATTTTCCTGATATTGCAGGAGATAGAGCGCGTGGTCGCAAAACTATGCCGCTCTTATATGGCGAGACTCTGTCTCGTTGGAGCGTAGCGATTTTCGTATTATTCTGGTCGCTCGTTTGTCCAGAATTCTGGCATATCGAGTTCTGGTTGATTCGATTAGTTTTGTTCAACATTGGGGGAGCTATTGGTATATTCACGACGGCACAGTATAGCCAACAGTGCGATGAGTGGACATGGATATTATGGTGCTTATGGATTAGTACTATTTATGCCCTTCCTCTTTTTAAACCGAGGTCCTAATCTAGGTAGCCTTTATAGGTATTGACAAATGATAGGTCTAATAGCCGCCGTTGTCTAAATATAGTTGCCCACCCGGTGTTACAAATCCATATATCTTATTAATTTCTACATCTTATAAGCTAATGCACTGCTTGATTATAAATGTCTGCCATTAACTACAGCTACCTTGACTTCTTAGATGATCGTTCTAACATCGTATACAGTATTACCACCCAGTCAAAGCATACAACACGATGGCCCAAACACTCAAGACTTGGTTAATTACCGGATGCTCTAGTGGTTTCGGTGCTATATTTGTCCGCCAACTTCGCGAACAAGGAGACAATGTCATTGCCACTGGTCGCGATGCCGAGAAAAGACTTGCTCATCTCAAAGATACTGGGGCGACAATCTTGGACCTCGACGTGACAGCGCCACCAGACGTTATTAAGGCTAAGATGGCTGATGCCTGGAATTTGTATCCATCCGGTATTGATGTAGTGGTGCATAATGCCGGCTATATTCTAAGCAGCGCCATCGAAGAATTGACGTGGGTATAATAGATGCCAGTGCGATTAACTACAAATTGTGACCTGCTGACAGAGAGTAGACAAGAAGATATGGAAAATATCTTCAAGACTAATTTCCACGGTCCACTGAACATTACTCGCGCACTTCTGCCTCAAATGCGAGCTAGGGGAACAGGCACGCTTCTATATATGAGCTCACAAGCAGCGTGGCATGCTGATCCCAGCGCTGCTGGATATTGCTCATCTAAATTTGCCCTCGGAGGTTCGGTTATCCTTCTTCTCACTGTTTTCCAGATTACTAGGAAGCCATTCACTAATGATTATTTTGTTTAGGTGCGATCGAATGTCTTGCTAAAGAACTTGCCATTATTGCCCCAGGATTGAAGTTGTTGATTGTCGAGCCTGGCTATTTCCGCACGAGTGCCTTTAAGAATATAAGGAATGTAGGCCCACGTCAGCAAGACTACGCCGGCTTCAATACTGCTGTGAGGGCTGTGGAAGCTGGCATAATCGGCAACGAGCCGGGGGATCCTTCCAAGGCAGTTTCAATCATGATTGATTTGGTAAAAGGCACTGGCGTGGCGGCTGGTAGGACTGTACCACTTCGGGTTCCTTTAGGGACGGATGGCTGGGAAAGGATCAGGGCCAAATGTGCGGATATGTTGAAGGTTTGTGATGAATGGGAGGAAGTGGCTAAGAGTACGGATCTGAAATAGCCAACAAGTATATCTGATGAAGAGCACGTTTCTGGTTCTACTATAATATAGTATATTTCAGGAGGCCATTGTTTAAACCTTCTTAATTTCACACCTTACTAGAAGCTCTTCAATCAACTCGTCCAGTACCCGAACCACAAATTCCTGCTTATAGAAGCCGGTGTTGAAGCATGTTGTAAGCGTTAATTCGCCCTCCCAGCTCCACACGTGAAATTGTAAATTTCGTGCTGACATATTTGTCCCTACCCAAAGATTGACGACCTCTACCTTTGTATAATCCTCAACCACATACTCCTTCTGGATGTATGTTTCTAGATTCCCCACGCTACTTAGATCCGGTGTCTGTACCGGTGGAAACCCCTCCGGTACGGGGGCCTTGAACAAGGCCGCTGTCCGTTGCACGTAAGGCTCTGCGAGGTCTAGGAAACTAGCTATTATTCTACTGCCGTCTTTGGGGTCCCAAAATCGGATAAGGTCCCAAGAATACACAGCATGCAACTCTTGTGCAATAGTGTGAAAATCCTTTCGGGGTCCTCCATCGACACCAAGAACGCCATCGATGCATACGGGTAGACCTGAAAAGTACACACCGGTAACTCTTTAGCCACTTTTACTTTCCGGTGGTAAGTGTAGAACGTAGATCAACAGGCACAAAGGCCGCGTACGACTTAGAGAGCGGGTGCTGTGGCTATGTTGAGGTAGCACGAATGATGGCTGCATGCACAGCACTTGTCACTTTGATATTCATGGCGCGACACATATCCACTACCTTAGAAGTAGTTTCGGAGTCGAGAGAGGTCGATGCGCGTGAGCTATTTCCTGGCGGAGATGTGCTCAGATCACTTCGCGTAGGAAAACCGATACTTGGAACTCCACGAATGAATTATCTAATAAGTGCATCTGCGCCTGCAGCCGACACACAATCTATCTTCTCTCTAGTTGCAATGTGGGTTTGTTGCTGGGACAGTGTCTCGAGATTTGGGTTAATAGGGGGATTGACGAGGAGTTACACCATATACACGTCTATGGCATCCTGCGTACCTAACCTCAAAATAACTGCCAGTGTCTCAGGGGGGATGGAAAGCTGAGCCTAAATGCTAACGAAATAACCCAGTGTTCTGTTCCAAAATTATCCGATAGCATCTTGAAGAAGCCCTCTAAGTTTCCCGATGGGTGACTATACACAATCGACATGGTTGATATAGATATTAATTATGGCAAATATAATATTTCATATATTTTTCCCATCGTATAAGTATGATGCGATTTATTTGGGCCATAAAAACCCAAAGCTGTCGAAATATTTGCTACTACGAGGCAGATGAAAAAGGGATGGAACAAACTGCTTTGTCACGCAAAGCACTCTATCCCAACTATACGTACCGAAAATATCCCCTGTTCTCAATGTCTTGTCTAAAATTCTGATAATTGCATGAAATCCTTACGTACCTCCTATATGCAAGCTTCCATTATGTCTGCAAACAGGAACAGTAAGAGATTACCTAAAGAATACCTAAAGAATACCGTCTATAGTGTTATTTCATGTTGATGATGATGACAACGTTATTTGTGATACACAGTATAGCCAAGATGTCTAGATGTCTTGTATGAGGTGATTACCCAACGGCAATCCCTGATTCCGTATTTGAGCAGACATGAAGAAACCTACCTGCCTCGTAGTTTCGATTGCTCCTAAATAACAATCTTGTACCGTGTGTGATGAATGATAAGCCGACCTTTAGGGTCACTAATATCCATCAGGCTTTTTTTCACTTCAAGTCCTTCAGGGCTTTGAGTGTAAGCAGTAGTAAATCTTTCGCAAGTGGTCGCCATGCCGACTCTACCATCTAATGACCAGATAGCATACATGGCAATACATTAAAACGATAACTTAGTTCTAAGCATCATAATTTGTTGTTCTGTTTGTGGGATCGCATCTGTTATTTTTATACTACTCCGTCTCTATTCCCAAAGCCCAGTCTCTGGCCAACTACGCCCAACACGAAGCGACTACTTTCTCATAGCAACATGGGTATGTTTTACACTTGTGTACGTTTATATTCAAAGTAGATGAGAAAACTGACGTTGGATGATTGCAGTCTATACGCTACTTTCGTTACTTCCTTTGCATCAGCGTCATAAACTAGATTGAGCCTGTAAGTCATACTAATAAAGGGGGGCAATGGGTTCAGGTGCCGGACAAAGAAAGGTTCAGATAAGCAAGTAATTGGGGTATTTTATCCACAGAAACATTAGATTCTTGTAGGACCTAGTAAAGTACTTGTACCAGTACTGCTATCTCTGTTATTGGAACCTTGATAGTGGTCTAGCAGACATTGAATGTTTGGCTGTTTCATTAGCATCTTCTTGCCTGGATATAATCTCTCCCAAAGAAATTAGTTACCTAGAGTTACATGATATGCTTGCGGTCGATATTTTAATGGCGCCGAACCCAAGACTGAATAGCATAAATTGTGACAATTTCGTAATAGGTACCTAACGTAATGAGTTGATCTACTTATTAAATGACTTAATATTTCGCAAGGAAGCCAGGGGTTGCGAAAACCCCATCGAGGAGACGCAGTTCTGGGTAGCGTACCTCTAGCGAGGTTAGACCAATGGGACTTTCCGAATCGGTGGCTTCTATAATATCGGAAAATCATACAGGCGAGTAAATCGAAACTGGAATGTGCAAATATGCTTGACTGCAAAAGTCATGATTCCGGTAGTTCGGGCCCGGCGCGGAGTAGCCTCGCGGTTAGCGGACGGGAGCGACGAGATTTTCCCTAATCTTAGGCACTCATAAAGACTAAAGCGGTTGGGTGGGAAAACTCTTCTAGACATGACATCCCGGCGTGTGGACCTAGGTGAGTCTTTTGATTATATCTGTTGTGAGTGGGTAGAAAGTTTTGAAGTTTAAACTCCACACTTATTAGATGATCGCGGGCCGCGGAAGGGTGATGTTTATCTGGATTGGTCCACGACAGCGGTAGTCACCGAAAAGGCTATTATTATTAGTACCTAGGAAGTGGAGCAGGTGAGTTGGTGAGTTGATACGTGACCGTAAGCATTATACCGCCCCTGATGGGACATGAAAATAGAAAGTCGAGACCTTCGTAGCCGAAAACAACCGACAATATATTACTATAAAATTACTTGATAAATATTCGAAACCCGACAATAGCGATGGCGGCCGCGGGGGGGTTACCAGATGCGGTGCTGAAATGAAGCCATTCGTGGATGACCACTTGGGTGACCAGTTGGGTGACGGCTTGATTTGAAGTTTACTCGAATTTATCGAGAAACGATTGCTCGATAGAAACTTATGGTTAACTTTAGTAACTTTAGTATGATCCACACCATCCGTTCTGTTGGGGCATATCGACGTAACACGGACGTCAAGACAAGAGATCTGTGGATGGAACAATTGTCTGGGCGTGCATATGAGGTAGATATCTAGGTACTAGTATTAATCCTTGTGAGTGGAAATCGATATTTGCCGGTTTTTATTTTTATTTTTTATTTTTTATTTTACCATGACCCCTGAATTAAGATGGAATTTGTAGATGTTGTGTCACGTATTTGTATCCCACACTTTTAAACCCACTTTGATGTAGAACCCGGTCAGGTCCGATAACGATCTGATTAGACTAACATAAACATGGCAGCATGGTCAGGTATTGGCTAGTTATTGGCTAAAATATGTTACATAATTCCCCTTACAGACAGGCAAAAGTGGACATCAAACTAATGCAAGTCATAACCTTTCCTGGGTTAAAGAGTCTTGAACGAATCAGAATTTGCCGATAACAACCATTGTCCAATTCGGGAGTCCCGTCAGTTTTTTTTTTTCTTGGTCTTATTCTTCCCTCTTTACTTACTCAATGTACCTACCCTCTTACTTATCGTCACCCACACCCACTTTAAACCACTTCCCATCTTTCTCTTATCTCAATTCCTATTCCCGTCATGTTCTTGACTTATCTTCTTAGGCAGTCATACCCTCTTGAATCAGGGCATGATGCAGGCTAGTCCGACTATTTCCTTTTCTCGATTAAGTACCTTCTCGAGATATCTACCCCTTTACCGAGGCTAAGCCTATAAACCCACCATAGCCCACAGCTTACACAACGGATTCACCGCTCGCACTCTCGCACCATCGTACTAGAGCCAGCCGAACCCGAACTTGAAATCTGTTGTAGCGGTATCGCTGCTGACTGGCTTAGTTCTAAGTAAAATCCGAAACGCCGTAGGTTGAACGTAACTTCGCTTACTCGATCGTATCCATTAACCCGTTTGCCATTCTTCCTTCACTTTTCTCGGCTTGCTCATATCTTCTCGTCATATATCCGCACGTAGTACACTTCCCGTCAGTAGGTCTTGTCCTTTCTGGGCTTATCCATTCACTTTCATTCCAGTCATCACCAGCATCGTACATACTTCTGCATATCACTGCTGACTTGTGATGCCCCCCTTCAATCATTTGTTGAATACCGTGCTTTCTCCTTATCTCGTCTTCTTTCTCTTATCATTCGTCCGCCAACCTGCAGTCAAAGACACTGTGATAAGCAGATATTGTACTGCTTTGTCCTCGTTGCTAGTCTATCCTTATCTTCGTCTGCCAATCTACCACTTCGTCTGTTAGCAGATTAGCCTTGTAGCATCAAAAAAAGCATCAAAAATCCACAGGTCGACCTTACATAATGACAGTCACTTCTAGAACCAATGCCGGACCACTAACCGTCCTCGTATCAACGAGGGCGGTAATCACTTTACCGGACGACAGCCTCCTACTCACCCCAGCCACCATATCTATCTCGCCAGCCACCGGAAAGATCGTGGATATTATACCTACTATCCTACCCAAGACATCGTTTGTTCCGTCAACGACATACATCAACTATGGCGCCAAACTCTTGATTCCTGGACTTGTAGATGCTCATGTGCACCTTAACGAGCCAGGCCGAACGGAATGGGAAGGGTTCAGCACCGGTACCAGA